ATCTTCAGAGCGGAATGTTTAAGTCACATAACTCTAAATAAAAATGATATAGAAATTAGAATCAAATGCGTAGCCAAACAAAATCTTTTCCTGTTTATCTATCTACATATATTTATAATTTTATCTATGAAGCATTGCCCGTAAATATCAGCAAATTGACTAAGAAATTGCCAGCAAAGAGCTTCCTCACTACTCGCAAACAGAAACATCGACAGCATCCTAAGACCAGCATGCTACACGCTATAGGCCAAGTTGACTCAATATTATAGAGCGTCGAAATTTCATTTTAATTTCTTTCTCCGTTTTTTAAAAGTATTAATAAAAAGGGAACGAACGCGTGTACAAAAAATTCGCCACAACCGCATATAATTTTCTTACTTGTCCTTTTTCTTTTTTTTAAGTATTAAGCAAGTCAACTACACTTGACTTGCCGTGCCGTAATAGAAAATGCAATTATCTTACTTGGTGTCTCTGAATTCGCACGGAGTTTTCGTAGCCGAGTCACGCCCAATTGTAAAGGCAAACTTACAACTTTCCGATCGTGAAACTTCCAATAACAGAAGACTGATGCACGAGCGGAAATCGTTTAAGGGTCAAGAACATCTACGCACTTTATGGAATCTCAACTGACCGAGACTGGATGTAGATAAAAGAAATGAAAAATCTAATATGGCAACACCATATTTTGGTGATAAAAGATATAAAAATATAACTAAACTTAAAGCTGTCAGTGAAAGGATGAATAAAACAAAAGCCATTGAAAGTAATGGGCAAACAAGTAAGAATGTTATAGTCGAGTGAGGCCGACCAGTAAATACTCTACACCAATTCGGCTAATACATTCATTCATTCAGTTTATTTGAACTGTACATTAAAAATTAGACCTCTTTGCAAATAAAGACTTACTTTCCGTAAGAATGGTTGCGCCCAAGAGGTTTTGGGTACGCATTAAACATTCAGCAGAGTTGATTTCTAGATCAAATTATAATTATGAATCAATTTTCATCATAAAAATTTACAATTTGGACTTTTCTGTTCTAAAAAACAAAAATTTACGCGAAAATCCTTATGAAGGGTAGGATCCAAAAACAGACGTTAAAGAGTTAATTTTTATATTAAATAGCTGTTATGGGTCACTTTTCATCACAACATATTAAAATATAGTAAATAAACATTCGTGACAATCCTTGTATAGGATAGGATTCAAAAAAATAGGTCCAAATTTGTTATAGTTCCTTTTTTTACTTAAAACTATTATCATCGTCTGATGTGACTTCCGTCAGGAAGCATTGAAAATTGAACCTTTTTGTCAGTTTTCGTTATACGACAGAGGGTTCAAAAATTTCCACCAGCCGAAGTACTATTACCTAGCCGCCTTTCTTGAGAAAGTAACAATTTTTTCATTCAACGACTTTTCAAGACAGGGATATGATCGAAAAAGTGGACCAATCCAAGCTATTATCAAAAGCGTTTATTTTTGGATCAAAGCCGGTCAGTGTCCCAAATTTCATCGAAATATGTCAAATATCGCTGCCTGCATCTTGAACATAAATTTACACGGACAGAACTAGACCCGCAGACAAGCTTACATCGATTCAGAATCATTGTATGAACCGATCGGTGGGCCGCGTGTCACATGCGTCAATCAAAGTACTCCTCATCTGGCATAATGCGCTTATCCTGGTGTCTTCTATGCCCTACACCGCAATTGGTGATTAGCAATGCCTTGAAGGCAGTAAAATTAATTTATCAAAACAAAGGAAAAATTTTCATTTTGTAAATAAATTCACGATATTTCTTAACCACAATAGTAGATAACCAGCAGAAACTCAACTGTGACATTTTCTACAAAGTTTCAAGGGCATAGTTGTGTTGACAGTAATGTTCGCAAATATATCGGTTCTCCAATTCACGCTGACAGAGAATACAGCCAACCTATGGATTTTGTCAAGCGAATTTTCATTCGTCGCAAGCGTAAAAAAACTTTGGAGACAAAATATATTGATTCTATAAAATGACTGAGAGTTTATGTATAAAAATAAGAAGAGCTCTCTCTCTCTCTTTGTTCTTCTCCTTGCAACTTCTTCTCCCATTAAGTATGCACGATAACTGTTCAAATACCATTTTCATTAAAATCTGATGTTGTCAGCATTTAAAGCTAATATTTTCCTCATCTTCTCTGCATGTGCATGCCTTTGTGTGCATGTCGTAATGTTACAACGTTCTTGGCAATGCGAGAAATGAAAATTTTATGAAGAACTTTTATTTTGTCATTTGTGAGATTAAAGAAGTTGGGACATAAGGTTAGTTTCATATTGCAATCGTATACACATCCGAACTGGTCTTTTTTGATCTTTTATTTAATATTTTCTACATGCGTTCATGTCGTAGCATCAAATGTTGTGGCAAGTCGTATAAGAATACTAAATAGCTAGTGAAGCATGTACGATCACGACGTCACGCGGTGTTGTTATTACATCAGGTAACATTCACAATTATGCTAAAGAACGCGAACAAGAATTGTCTCTAAAACAGTAAGTAATAGGAGAAAACAATGCTTGCTAGCAGCAAGGCTTTCTTACCAGAAGGAGGCTTCAGTGACCCTACAAGTATATACATTCTTGATCAGCATCGAATGCTAAATCGATTTAAGCATGTCCGTCTGTCTGTTTGTATAATGCCTGTTGCAAATATTCTCCTGGCAGCAAAAATTAAACTATTGGGTTCGAACTTAGCAGAAACATTGGAATTTCTTGCAAGTAGGTTGGCGTTGCAAATGGGCCAACTCGGGTCAAAAGGGTTAAAAAATTGGTTTCTTGCTCATTACTCGTAGACTGCAGCAAATCTGCAAAAATTTGAATTTTTTTTTCAAAACTGTTACAACGCCCAAAAACAAGCTACAAAAATTGTATAAAATATACAAATTTTTGGAGAGTTTCAAATTCGGAAAGTTTAGCTCGTTCCTTTTTTTTAAGGATCACGATGATGGGTGTGAAAGAATCGGTCTCAACAGAACATAATTTTCTTACTTGTTCATAAGCCCGTACATCGTGATTGGCAGAAAGAATTGGCGAAAAAGAAAGAAATGGAGAGGTAGTGATACCAGCTTGGTGGGTGTGTGCCCAATGGGTACGTGGTACACATTTATCGACTGAACGCTCACTATAGCTAGTTCATCTTGCTTTTTTTATAACCTACACTATTTGTGATACAAGGGCATATCAAGTTTGTATGGATATGTGCAATACCCAAAAGTACTTAAGCTAGGCCCACTTTTTGTTATATCAATCGTTTCAGAATCACCTTCGGAATCATTTTCTAAATCGAGCTAACTTTGTCTGTCCGTCTTTATTATTTGTTTAACCTAGAGGCCGTAATTTTTGAGAAATTATGATGAAATTTGTTAGACGTTGTCCTATTTTTACCTAACGACCGTAGGGCCGAATATATATACACATATCCCATGAATTTCATACTATGTTTACATATAACGTAATGGATTGCACATTTTCAATTACGCCTTTAGGGACAAAATGAATGAACACGTGTTCATGTTTCAGGCCTAATAGGAAAAAGAAGGGCACCTTAAAAAATCTGGTGTCATTTCGGTCGACAGCGTTTTCAGAAGTCTAGCTTTATGATAGATAAATTTTTATGTGAATAAAAAAAAATCTCAACCGAAATTTGGGAAAGTTCGAATACAGCGGTTCTTGCAAATTTATACCGACAATTACAAGGACTGTTTAGGGATATTTCAAAGCAAGCAATACATAATTAAGCTCTGCAACGTAACAAGCGAATCAAAATGAAATAAAGACTTAGGACAGTCGGTTTTCGAATGCAAACCCGATAACCAGGCTATTACCCTAATATGGGCGAAATTATTTTGCGAATTTCAGCGTGCTCCTCGCATAGTTCATAACGTTATATGTGGTTTGTATTGCTGTTGGAAATTATGAGGCACACTATGTTTTCAGCTACCTGTTGATATGAAATTTAGACCGAACGTTTTTCGATCTGATCAATAAATTGTCTTACCTTCTTTATATACATATTTCGCATATTAAAAGGTTCAGTCCAAGCGTAATACAGTTTTCCTCTTGTTTTAAACTCGCATTCTCATTAACACTTGGCAAACTTTCATTGTCAGTCGATAAGGCGACCGAATTGCAGAATTGTCATTTATTTTATTTGTTCAATAATAATGTTAAGGTACAATGCCTTCTGCGTTAACTGATGCAGTAGCAGAATTCTAATTTGTGTTGAGTTAGCGTATATTTGTTGACATCAAGAGGTTAACAGTACTCGGACCGAGATTCAGAAATCGTTTAAAATATATGTATTCTTGATTAGCATCTACACGCTGAGCCGATGTAAGCATGCGCATCTATCCTTCAATCCATCTGTATAACATTTACGGTAAAAGTTCTCTCAGTCGCAAATGCTAAAACGTCGGTTTCAAATTTGGTGAAAACATTGAAAATTTATGGACGCAAAGGGTGAAATCGATCAAAGGACGCGCCTACAATGTAACATAAGCTAAGGACTCATTTGCTTTTTGGATTTGTTTGCTCATCGCTGATAAGCCACAACGAACACTCCATGAAAAGGAAGAAACCGGCCATGCCCGAAGCTTTTTCGTTTTCTATTTCAAATGTTTTTTGAGATAAAGGCATTGAGTGTGAAAAATATGACCGTCGCCGCCGGTAAAGATGGTAGGTAATTTGGTCATAGGCAATCGATATGCAAGGGTATAAAACATTCGAACGCAGACAAATGAATGTTATCTTCTCAAAGTTTTCACCCTTCTCCCTCATCCTAGATCATCTAAGTATTATAACAGTATACCCAGATACAGCTTCCTTGACTCCTTAATATTCTCATTTAATTGCTCTTATTGCAAATAAAGTCTTCTTGCAAGTACTTTTCCTTCCAGCATTCCGGCGCCGTATCATTATATATAAAAACCATGATTATGACGTTGTAAGAAATTTCTGAGAAGGAGATTACATTTTTTAGAGTTATAGGTAACTTCTTCTCTCGACTAACTTTATTGATACAAATATAATATGCATAAAAAGAGGACACAAGAAAAACGAAAAAGATAATATGCTTCCAGTTGAGTGTGCATTAGCAGCATCAGTCAGAATCAGAATCGGGCAACTAATAATAAAAGCAAAATTGTAGAAGAAATTTTTTGAAACAATTCAAAATATTTTCTTTATTGCATTACCTGAAAATGAGTTTCGCAACGTTCCAAACTTAGATTTGGCTGATATATGTACGACTGCAATGTATTATTTATCGAAGACAAAGTGTCGGCATACTCTGCGATCTCCGTCGGCTTTAATATATCCAACAAGTTTAGATCTGGACACCAAAAGTAACGCAACACGCCTTTTTGAAAATGCTCTGTTAGAACTTCCAACATCTTAGAAGAAAGATGAAGAGATTGATAACTAAGCTTCTTCTTGTTTGGCATTATTGTATTTATATATACTTGCCTCAAGAAATACGATATTGATCGGTTGCTCCCAGAAACTTTCCGGACGTTTTCTAATCTGCCATAAAAACATCGCAACCAAAAAGTAACTTTTCAAGCGTCTCAAATCATCTCTGTAACAATTACGCAAGGATTTTAATAAGCGCAAAGCTACCTTTAAATGCTGTTTGCCAAGCAAAAGTTCGTATTCTGCTGACGGATTTACAAGAAGAAACGTAAGAGATTGGCCACTTCTTCCTTTTGGGGTTGCGTTAAACGATTTTGGCACCGCGAAAAAATTTTCCGAGCAACCAACAAAGGGATAAAAATTACGTTTCCGTAACCAGCTTGGTCTGCCAATCGGATAGGCTGGCACGAAATCAATAGAAATATTTCTTGAAGAGTAGAGATCCCTAACTTTAACGGTATGTGCTACGCTGCTTTTTTGATATTCCAACTCCATCGTTGTTCTTCCGTGAACAATTTTACCAAATCGGATGAAAACCTCCTCTATAATATCATGAATCCACCATTGCAAATTGGTACGTTTTAGATAGTCATTACGATCGAGCAAATTGTCTGCAAACTCGTCATATACATAGCTTAAGTTCTCGTCATTGTAAAGTTCTTCCATCACATCCTCGAAATCCAATTTCACAAACCCTGGTCTGTATTCATCGCTCTCAATATACAACTCATCATTATATGGCGTTTCTAATTCAAAGAAAACGTCGAATTCGTTCGGCTTTATAATGCGAACACTATTCGGATAGCTACCTGAAAAATTATTCATAGCAAGTGCATAATAAGAGGGTTCGTTTTCGTTCGAAATACATTAACTTACCAAACAAAGTGTGACCCTTGTATAATTTTTTAAAGGTTTCACTTACTACGCACATGCGTCCCAACAAAGTATCTCTTACATCATCATACATCATGGTATATGCTTGTCGATCACAATTTTTAACACTAATTTTCTGATCAATATCTCGCAAGTGTTGTTCGAACGGATATGCCATTTCCAGTTAATAAACGTTGACAACGCTGAAACAGATGAAATTTCTGTGACTTATGTTTATAAAAATTAAATTTTTGTTATACGTATAATGAGTGATTGAAGATGTTTGCGTCATTATCAAGTTCTTGATCCTTTTACTGCTCATTAACAGTTACGTACGGAATTCAATCCGGACTTTGACAAATAATATGTGTCCTTGAAAAGCACGAAGAAGAAATTATTTCGCCTATATTTCGTCTGCCTGTTTGTCTACTCCTTCTTCTTTACAATAACATTCCTTGCTATCTAAGCTGTGAACAGATTGGTTGCAATTCCAATTTGCACATGTTTGCGAGCATTCTTTGAAAAACAAATCTACGACTTTATTATCATTATCGACTCTTTGCATCCCTATACCTAGCATGTATCAACATTGTACCTCGTACATCAACTCCAATGTCGCCGTGGAATCCACGTTATATTATTCAGTTAGTGGTAGGTAAAAATAGCGAAATAAGAAGGAGTCCAAAAATCTAATGGATGAGAAACAACCGGTTCGGAGTTGGTCCAACAGTTTATCTTTTCCTACATGCGTACTAGTTCATGCCTTCGCTAGGATATGTTTCATAATTGGATATCAATTGAAAATTACCAAGATGACCGCAGGGCGTGAGATAAAAAAAAATTCCTAGAATTCATTGTAAAATGTACGCAGACGACTAAAGACAATTGCTCTACACAAACCGTCATATAAAAAATGCGAAAAAAGATACGTGCGTACATCTTAAGAGATGTTAAAAAAGTGAATGAACTGGATATTTTTTTTGGGAGGAGTTCCTGCCTTCCTCCTTTTCAATAACGGATTTAAGCTCTTCTTGTGTGCTCGCTCATGTTTTGTGGTGTATGGCGGCGAGGGGATAGGCACTTCGGTACGATCTATTTGAGAGTGGAAGCAAGGGGAAGGGCGGAAAAGGCCACCGTATGCAAGTTACTCGAAAAGATATCCGACGAGCTTTTTCGGAATTACTATCATATATTTCGATGTGTTATAAATCGTATGAAATGATGCATTACAAGTGGCGTGAGAAGAAGAAGGAAAAGCAAGATAGAAAAAATTTCGATGTATCGATCGTATAGTGCCTACATCGCGTTTATTTCAACTCATATTCTATAGGACATGTATATGTGATAATACAAACTAAAACTCTGCGTACATATACTGCCTTCTTCTTGTACAATCAATTACTCCGGGTGTGGTCGTAGGATGAAAGGGTAAGTGTTTTGCCGATCGCGACTGAACACTCACTGTACAGCTGGAGAGCAATTGACGGCGGCATTTCTTAACTACTTGGCAATGCGGTAGCCGCATATTGATGTTTGCGAACGCAGTTCAGACTAAAGGCAACGAATACTCCTTGCCTTGTAAAATGTGAAAATTTTTAGTTTTTCTCGCATCAGAATACAAATGAAATGTAAGCCAAATTAATTAATTACGAGGCATTTAACTTTGCTCGCATATCGCTGCAACTATTTGGATTCGATTTTGAGCGCGACCGATTTTTACCGTGCCACGAAGCTCTAAATAGAAAATTTATTTCGTTGCGAAGCTTCACGTGACCTGCAAATACTGTCTTTACTGTATATTGATTTGATAACATGTTCGAGCACGTAAGCTCTGTATAATTTGCTATGAGTTCGACTTTACCTTCTCGCCTTAAATAGAGTCCAAGAGTACCAACCCTAAAATCGGGGTTATATGTAAAAAGAAATAAAAAAATTACAGCCGAGCTTGGTCGCTATTAAATACCCTATCTCGCTTTGCCTTTTACAATTTATCCTTTATTCTCTTGATAAAAATAATGACATCTAATTTTCATGTGAAGGGATCAAACTGTTTTGGGCCCACTCACAATGGAGTCCAAACTTAGTAAAATTACTTTTTTTTTTCAAAGATTTTATTAATCTTCACTTGTTTTTTTCCCGTAATTACTCGAATTTCGACAAAGATTTATTTATAGAGGATGGGGTTCAAAAAATTACCCCATCTCACCCACATTGAATGTGCCGAACTACTATTACTGAGCGATTTTTGACGAGAAATTTTCAAACTTGTATATCTTTTTTTATACAACGATCTTTTCGCGTTACATGAAACGCTGCCGTCGTGAAAATGATGAATAGTGAAAATATTATTATTGCAGCAATTACCGACCGCTAGCTAACTAACAATGAAAAACACAAAAGCATATCACGTGGACAAAGGGGCTTAAGTCGATTCGAAAAATCATTCGGTATCGATCGTTATAATGAAACATGAGTCTATCTGAAATCCTTTGGGTATTAGGTACGCTCGCAGAAATTTAAGCCACACTGTGTACATATAATAGCGTAAACAGCAGAGTGTGTAGCACTCAACAACAATAATGTGATAAAATATATATATATATATATATATATATATATATATATATATATATTTATACATATTTGTATGTATATACATATATATATATATATAAATATATATTTATATGTATATAAAATAAATATATATTTATATGTATATATATATATATATATAAATATATATTTATATGTATTTGTATGTACATATGTATATATATATATAAATAAATAAATATATATATATATATATATATTTATTTTTTTTTTCAAAATTAAGAAGCAAGCAAAACAACTTTAACGAAAAGATGCGACGACCTAACGAATACTCACCAACGAACCAACAATAATTTAACGAACAACTCTCTGATGCCGTCACCCATGCTGCTGCTGCTACAAAAAGACCCTCCATGACGTTTACAACGTCAACACCTTGAATGTAGTACAAGAGAGGCAAAACCGTTATCAACAATGGCAACAGCAGCCATGGCGACGTGATTGCTTTAGAAAAAATATTGTGAACCTCTCTCGCGTAGAAAACAGAAATAAAATACAAATCCAGCAACGAACGTTTTACTTTCAATCAGCGACCGACCGACCACCATAACCAAGTCAACAACAATCGCTGCATATGAGCTAAAATGTTTAGTAAGCTATATAGCAACCGTCATAAAAGAGAATGGCAAGGAAGCAACACAAGAACGGTTAACATCCAAACGCCAACCAATATACATACATACATACATACGTACATACCTACAATAAAGTTCTATATCTTCGTCTAAATACTACTAGCGACTGCTTGCGCGCAGCGATTTGGTTTTCTATTTCTGTTACCGACAACGATGACGACATCAACGACAACGTACACGTATACGTATATATATATGGAAAGACGCAATACATGTACAAATTGCGTGTATGCTTTTAAAATATGAGCGATGAGGACGCGTGAATTGTTTCGTTCACATTGCAAAAAGGAAGCTTAACAACAAATACTAAAAAGTTACAATGATAACAACAATGAACAATAAATAACTAACAAAAAAAAAAGAAGCGAAACAATTTAAAGAGTACTAACTATGAAACTCAAGCAAGTATTTACCGTTAAACATGGAATCGTGATCCATTACCTTCTAGCGATATCCCGCACCAGTCCCATGATTCTAAATCATCGTCTACAATGCAATCAAGATTAAGTTTAATAACGTTCCCGTTAATAGCATGAAAGCTCTGATAGATCGTGAGTAGCAAAGCTCTTCACATTTTTTCAGTCATCGTTCAAAGGTACCAACTTGCTTGAAACTGATTCTTTGTCGCTCAAGCATGACTAAGAGCAACACTCAAAACAAATGTTGCCAACCATTAAGCCCCGCTAAAGCACTCCAGCAAACAAAAAGAATAAGCATTTCCGTACCTTACCGCCTTCAATTTATCAAAAAGTATGGTTTTAAAGAACCAAACTTTCAACAGGAAAAAATCATGCGTAGTGAAAACAATTTTTCAGAAACTAAGTTGTGTCTGTAAGCGGATTTGATTTCTTTCTCTTACTCGCCTAATAGTTATGCCCTACATCACTTGTGGCATAGTGTCCATTAAATTTATGTGGATGTACGTAATACTTGTAAGGACGTACGGACGCACCTTTTACTGTAACGATCGATTGAGATTCATTTTCTGAATCGATTTAAATGTTTCGAATCCTGTCTTGTGACGAACCATATCGAAAATTGATTAAATGGGATCCTTTTCATATAAAGACTTATTTTGAAAAAGTTGTTGTATAAGGATGTTTGCAATTTTCAAAATTTTTCGATAAAAATCGCTGAGTAATAGTACATTTTCGTCACATTAAATTAATGTGAGAAAACTTGAATTTACGAGGGACCAACTTTTTGAATCCAATTCCATACAAGCTTTCTTGTGAACACTAAACCCTTATACGGCGAAAATGTTTAGTTTTCGTAGCGAGAGCAATTTGACCAAATTTCGACTATGGTGATCTATATTTTGGACTCCACCCTATATAAGGATTCTCATGTAAAGTAAAGCCTTATTAAGTAAAAACCTCTAACTTTTTATATTTCATGGAAAAAGAGGCGAAGAGTAATATGATTTTTGACAAGAAAATTAAATTTATTATGATAAATGTGAACCATGTCAGTTCATGTTGGGGACCCACTTTCACATATGGGTTTCCATGAAAGGTATGGCTTTACAAAGAAATTCATATTTTATCACGAAAATAAGTGAAATTTTCTATTAAACGAAATAGCGTAAGATCCTTGCGCGGTTATAATGTTTTTACTCGTTTCCTCTTCATCTTGTAATCATTACTTGCTTGTAGTTTCCAACCGGCCCGCCACTGAAGATGAACTTTTCATAACTACTACAAACTCGTCTATGTTTCCATTTTAGGTATTTGCCGCCAGATGTAAGCCTTACACATTCCTGCCTACTGTCTACATGCACATTCATATTCATATATTGCCCGCCGCCAATTTCAGCGAACATAGGGAAACCCCCGCTTAACATGGTACATGTCATCGATACGACATCGCTACAACCGGACGCACTACTTGCGAATATTATAATACGGCTTTGAGGCAACACGGTTTCAAAACATGGTTTATGTTTATTTATTCCCAACGCCACTTGTGATTTGCATACGCAACACTCAGAAGTATTTAAGATAGGCGTACCTTTTACTATACTGAGCGACTCAGAATTATTTTCTGAATCAATTTAAGCTCTATCCTCTCTTTTTCCTTTGCCCAACCTACAAGCTGCAATTTTTGAGATATTTTAGCGAAATTTGGTACCCCGACTTGTTATCACCAGACGGCGAACGCTATAAGCAATGTTTCGTATCGGACCATATTTTCGCCTAGTTCCCATAAAATGCCTTATAGTTAGATAGTCGTTATATAGATGGCTGTAGGATAGCATAGGGCACTCAATGGTGGGACATGACCCACTGTAGCGTTTTTACTTGATTTCCATTGATTTTTGTTTTTATTTTATCGTTACTAAGAGGACAACTTTGAGAAGAGAAAATAATAGATTAGCTGTAAATTTTAATGGAAATTAATTTTCTGATTGTCATCATTATTTTTTGAATGTATTGTTACGAAATTCGCTTTTCTAAGAGAGGATTCGTACCACTAGACCGTGGATATTCTTTTCCAAAGAGATGCTCTTCTAAATTCTTTTATTTGCAATTATATTCCTTAACAGTAGAATTATTCACAATTTATTTTGGCAGTACTCTCGGCTCAAATGATCTTCTCCGACTCACTCTGTCTTCCGCAAATGGTCTATTTATGTACATTCTTACAAATATATTCATGGCTTCATTTTTTAATCCGTTAACCTGTTTTTTAATCCGTTAATCAATTTCGTCGGCTGGCAGCTGCCTGACGCGCCTGCGAATGTGCACTTGGTTTTCCCCTCTCTGGGGAATTTATTATTTGGGAAAATTAATTATCCGGAATTAACTTCTTTTTTCGTTTATGTGTCCCTTTAAAAAGAAATTTCATCATAAAACTTTACGCCTTAAGACTTGGCTTCGATACAATACGGTACATGTCGAAGCTTATAACACGGTACACATATTTTTGACTCATTTTATATCTAAGTTCAAATTAGTTATGGTAAGAACTATCGCTAATTTCTCAAGACCGTACATTATGGACAAAAGCTTCTGCCAACACACGCTGCTCCTATTTACAGTATACGAGACGTAAGGATAGGTATATAATATCAATTTCTGTACAGGGAAATTTTATTTTGATTCAAAGCAATAAATAGCATTTTTCCACATTTTTCAGTAAAATGGGAATTTCGTGTCGAAGGGACGTTTGATCTTTTGCATGGGGCTATGGTTGCCCTCCTCAGACAGATACTGCGTCGCCGTTTGGCTAATACGTGTATCTGCCAGGTTTAATAACACATTTGAAATCAGCGCTGCTATCATTCGCAATGCGAGGCTCAGTGTCGTTATTTTAACAAATCGGGCTACAGCAGGTTTGAAGCGTTCGTAACGCGCTAAACATTAAATGTAGGCGCCAATGATTTTCATGCTCCCGGCCGACATTAATGGTCCCCTGAATCAGAGTTTTTTACGTTTCCGATATTGTACCGTTTGTACTTTTCATAACTCATCCGGATTCAACAGCACCATCCTTGAAATTAAGCAACAAAAGCAACACTTTTTCAGCTCCCCGAACTGAATTTATTTGAATCTGTGAAACCTGCTTACATTTTAAGAGCTACCATTATTGTTGTTCGGTAAAGCTCAGCTACGGTGTCTTCAAAAATATTTATTGCCAAAGTAAAATCCTCTCTTTCCTCTCTTAGGGAGACAAATTGGCTTTTACTTGTACATCTCGCTTGTAATCTATTAGATAGAACCATCCCTGGTATCATTTCTGCTGCCGCAACTTGTTTTTTCAATTTTCATAGGTCTAGAAACACTAAATTATTATAAGACAATGTGTGAATTTGATCTAAAAGACTGGCAATCAAAACCGGGGAAAGCAAGAAAGAAAGTGAAAGTTGTTGCAAGAAAATTGTTTGGTGCACTCAATGCCTGTGTAAAATTCCAAAATTTTTCTAAACGAAAAACAAGTAGAAACACTATAGTGATCCAGAGCTTGCGATTAAATACACCTCCCCTCAATTATTCATGCACAGACCTTTTGAAATACGACGTTATAGGAAAAGAGGTCGAGGACAACATTATCAGCGATCCCAACCATTTTCACTAGCGCTCAGCCGTCGACCAAAACATGTCATCAAAGTATGTCAAATATTGAACGCAAGAAACCAAGACGGACAGACGGTAATACGAAAACCGGGATGATAATACGAAAAACGGGTCCAGCTCAACTCTTCTTGGGTGTTGCATATGTCCGCCGAAGCTTAATATACCCCTGTAAAAGAAGTTATGTAGAGTATACTGAAGACTCTCGAGCGTTATTTTTACAAACACATTAAACTAAGTATAAAGTCAAACAAAATAAACAAGTTGATGAAAACAACCCCCATCTCCCTTCGACATATATAAATGAACACAATATCTTAGAAATCACTCCAAGTCGAACATTCGAGCGAGTGTAAATAAGTTGGTATGGCATACCATTAGCTTAAGGCAAAGAGATCAATTTCACACAAAAAAAAAAAAATGACTCCGCTTGAAATGAGTTTTTGTGTCCACACAACTGAAGAAGTAAAAATAAACTTTCCAAAAATAAGATACCACTTTCGTTTTACCAGAAAACCAAGCCTTATTATAATCGCTATAATTCGACAATTTGTGATCAAACGGCTGAAGGTCCTCTTATGAACGTCTCCCTGAATGTTTTAAAAACCAATAAGATTTTAGAATATGCGAGTCCGAGTTGACCTTTTAGGTATAACAAGGAAGAAACCGTAATTTGCCCTTCAAAATATTCTATTTTATGATCTACACACGTTCGCAAATGTCAAAGGTTTTTCTCCATTACTTAACATGCTTGCGAAGCCTCCAAGCTTCTTCTACCAATGAAAATCGTTGTGCACGCAGTTTATTCTTCACATTTCCGAAGAAAAAGAAGTCGTTTACGGCGCATGAACCATTCATTCGATTCCTTGAATATTTAAATCGTAGGCTATTAGAAAATGTGTTTGAGAGCTCGTGTAGTCATTATTTGTTTTTTTGCTTTCCTTACTTCAAAAAAAAAAAAACTTATTTCTATCCTTATTACACTAAAGGCAAACAAGTTGATGCTTACCGTTCGGGATTGATCGTTCTACGTTACGTTTAAAGGCTCTGTTGCCAGATGATCAGTTTTTCCGAAAGCAGTTGCGACCACTTGTGTTGCAAAGTGTGAATTTGTGAAGTGCTTCCAGCGTAAACAAGCTTTATCGGATGTAGCTCAGCTTGACACAGCTTGACATTCGTACAGTCCACCGCACCTTCAAGGTCCTGCCTTTTCAACTTTTTACACACCATCAATGTGCTCTGGCGCATCAACTGATTTTAGACGACCTTCACGGCTTTAAACATTTCAACGTGCAACCTAGTCGTCCTCATATTGGTCGCGTCGAGATGAATCTATTGGTCACAGAGCACAAATTCTCTTAAAAAGCGGCACGTTTATAGGGTTTTTCACTCCTGACCTTATCTTGCCTTAGTTCTGCTCATCTGTCGACATGTCATTAGTTATTTGTTTAATTTGCTGCCATAGAACTTGGGAATAGGTAAAGTGAATAGAAACTGAATAGACTCTTCCAAACGACAATGCATTTTGGGCAGAAATTCTGATCGAAATGATGAATTTGCAGACACCACCTAACAATTCATGATGAAAATAGTCCTAATCATCACACTGGCATAAGCAAAATTAGCCGATGTTGCATTACCTTCAAAGGAAATGATCCAAATCGGTCACGCCTTCTCAATTTCATTTTTTTTCATAACGTCTATACCGCACAGAAGCAAGCTTCAGTAATCCCATAATATACAGGTCATCCACTCGTCTGCTCAGTTGTGTAGTAATAGTGTGGAAAACATTCCCACGTTCGCAAAAATGAAAATATCGCCCACAAGCTTGGAAAAGGATTTGAAGATAAGCGAAACTTTTCAAAGAACACCCCTACAACGCCCACAATTCTACATTTCAAAAACTGTGAACACCTTTGCTGCTCTCCGTGCTTTTTCCTTGTTACTCATAAACTACAACGCACATAACATATAAATTTCGACTTTTGCTTTGACATTAGAAACAATCCCATCAAAGAGTACAAAAATTCAGTTTTTCTCCTTTTTCCAAAGACCATGATGGTGGGTATAAAAGATTCCGTCACGACCGAGTACAATTTTCTTACTTGTTGTTCTATATATGTTACTCACTTATTATACGTATTACAAACGAAATAAGCGCTTTTATTAGAAGAACAAGTGTAAGGTGTGTAATGCAAAAAATTTGAATATCTATTCAAACACGCAACAAGTGCTTTATAACTGAGTACTGGCTGTTTGATTAACGTGTACCGTGATAAATTCATGTCTCACCTTACATAACTATATGTGCAGGCAAAACAGTAAACGATTAAAACAAATAATATTTAAAGAATAAATTAGAGGCGAACAAGTACGAAATTAAAAATCGATCGGGACCGAATCTTTTATACTCATCACAGTTTACTCCAAAAAAAAAAAAAAAAGACAAGAGAAGTAAAAGAAGAGAAGTGGGCGCAGTTGGTTTCTTCTGTTTTGAAAGTAAAAATTTTTGCCACAGAGGCATGTGGGCGTTGCAGGCGGGTCCTTTGGAAAGTTTAGATCAATTCCGAATTCTTTTGCAAACTTGCTAGCGATATCTTCATTTCCGCTCAACAGACACACGGCCGGAGGAGCAGGCGGAAATGTTTACGTGAATTCAAGACTTGAAACTGGCCAAGAATTTGTGTACTTTATGGGGCTTTTGAAGCTTGTTTCTGCGTATTATAAAGATACTAAAGAAAAATATACAACTTTGATACACTAAAATATTGAGCAGGCGTGGTCAATTTTTTTCCATGTTTGCTCACAAATGCTACAGCATCGTCCATATAATATGCGATCAAATTTTTTGTACGTTCGTTTGTTGTAGTTTATAAGAAATGAGCAAAAAATTTATTTTTCATTTTTTTAAAAACGGAGTTGTTCTCAGTTTACGTGACGCGGTGGGCGTATCCCTCGACGGATTTTCCAAAACAAAACTGCCTGCATGAACTTCCAAAGTCTCTGACAAAATTTGAAGTCGATACCTTCATTTTTGCGTCCAGGAGAATGTTTACGACAGACATTGCACAGAGGGACAAATGGTCATTCTTATATCGATTCAGAATTTGATGCTGATCAAGAATATACATACACTGTGTGTGATCTTTGACGCTTCCTTCTGGGCGTTGCAAACGTGTTGACAAAATCAATATACCCCTCATCCTTCGATAATGGGTACAACCAGTAAGAAAATGACATTCGATCGTGATCGAATTATTTATGCCCACCACCACTATCCTAAAAAAGAGATTAAGAAGGGAAAATAACCCCATTTTCATATCCTAGAATATTAGAGAGAAGCGGATGATTTTTTTCTATTTTCAGGTTAAAAGTGGAGAAATTTATATGGTACATGCGTTGTATTTTAGGTGTAACGGGCAAAAACCATAGAAAGTGAAGGTATCCACAATTTTTATTGCGTAGGCGTGTGAGCGTTATAGCCATGTTTTTTGACCATGTATTTTGACTTAAAACCTCTTTTGTAGGCGGTATATTCATCTTTGCGAACGTGTGAACGTTCGAATGCTTACCACAGATGTCAAAGGGCGGACAAACAGGCGGACAAGTTTAGCTGCATTCCAAATTTGAAAGTGCTCAAGAAATTATATACAATATGGGGTTTTCGAGGGTTGCTTTTGCACATTATAAAGGTCTTGAAAAAAAAAATTATATATTTGCAGGATTTTTTCCGTTATTATACAAGCACTACAGCATCGTCTATACGTTCTACTTTTTGTTGTAGGCTATGAGCAATGAGCAGAAAACTAAGCTTTTATTCCTTTTAAAAACAGAGGTGTTCTCAGTCTACGTGGCACTGTAAGAGTGTCCTTCGATCATTTTGGCGCCAAATTTGTAGTTGATGGCTATTTAATTGCCTCCGGTAGGAAGATTACAACAGACATTACACAGACGAACTGACAGCCAGACTGACAGCGGGATTTGATGCTTATCACGACTATATATACTCTCTGGATCGTCTTAAGTTTCCTTCTGTACGATGCCAACGGTTTGACAAAATGAATGTACCGCTCGTTTTTCGATGATGAGTATGAAAAATGATTGCACAATTGCAAGTATATACGTAGGAGACATGTATAAGTAATGTTATGTGCGTAATAAAGTAAGGAGCTTGAAAAGAACAACGAAGACGAAAGGCATCACTAAAACAATAGATATAAGACACTATTATTCACATATATCAAAGAGTACGAAGGAAAAGAATTTCTCCTTTCACTTAAACATAGTTTACACATAAGCGGAAACGTTCAGGTCTGAACGGATTTCGATAAAAGACTAACAATATATAAAGATGTTTTATTAATTATGAGAGTTGAAACAATTGATTAATTATTTCAATGGGTTAGGAGATATATATATAGATATGCAAGAAAGATCGGACTTCAACATTTTAAAACACTTTATACTTTTCTTCTCTGCACTTCTAAATACGAAATTTCAAAGGAAAGAGATGAAATTGTTCACTTCCAAATACCCCTTCGGCACTCATGTCATCCTAAAGGGTATTTCTGTAATTTAATTTTCATCAATCCGGACGAGTGCCCAAACAGATATGAATCGCAATTACTAAGTCAGTATTCAGTTAGAGTTTGCCCTTATCGTAGTTATAATCTATGGTCAGTGGATAAAGGCGTTGGGAATACACATCTGCACTGGATTGCCGCTACCTCCTTATCTCTTACCCCCTTCTTCGATGCTTTCTAATCATCACCACGTTATACGAACGATTGGTTGTATTAAAAAATAAGACCACCATAAACTCACATAATTTTCCTCAAAACAATTATTAGATTCGCCCGGGTGATTACTTCTTCACTACCATGTTTTTCAGAACAATTACAATAACTAACTAACTAGTTTCTTTCTTTGATATAAGTTAACCAAGAATTTTTGACACAATGACTTGACTTCTAAAAAGTGAACTATGTCAATCGACGAAACCAAAATACGAACTTGTAATTAAATATTTTTTGCAGTTATAACATTCATGCGAAGAGTTTCCGACTTCAGATTCAGATAATGCTGTGATCACAAGTAAGCAATGATAGTCTTTTGAGTGCATCTTGCGCTACATAATACGCCATAAATAGAGCGGTTATAGTATTTTAGTCTTCTGATATATCTGCGAAAATTCACCCGCACTCTTAAGAGCGACAACCCTGCCCTTGCTTATCAATAGTTAAAAAGCATTTGGATTGCTCTCTTTAACAAGCATAATAATCATCGTGCTTTACATCTCTCCTTCGGTTGCTTTTACACCACCTCCTCCTACATAAAACTGATTTTTCTTACTCCGTTTTTGATCTTGATGAAATTTAATAAGCATATAATCAGGGATGTCGATGTCAAGTCCGATGAATATTGGGGTTACCTCTCAATTATTATATTAAATGTACAGCATATGCAACGAAGTCCAGGCAATCGACTTGTGCACATGCATATGTATATATGTATATACATATATATACATATATATATATATATATATATATATATATATATTGTAAGCCAGACCTGTGGCTGACTGAACGGATGATATTTTCGTGTGTGGGGTAAAGAGAGTGTTCAAAATAGTAAACTAAACTCTTGTCAATTTTTACATATAGCACACAATAACAATTTGGTCTCCGCACTGGCGATGGCGATGGTTACAAGAGTCAGCGGTGAAAAAAGAATAACAATAACAACAGCTAGCAAAAACGAAAGCAGCAACGATGAACACGATGGTGAACAACAGAAATAATAGTAAACGCGATTACAGCTACATGTATATATATATATATATATATGTATGTATATGTGCAGATTTGTACATGTACAACTTCTGCTCTGACTAAACTTACAGCAGTACAACAAAACCAAAATATGGAAAAACGCTCTAGTCGTACACAAGTAACTACGCTAACGATACATTCCTTCGTGCACTCATCTATCCATATATCCATGCAGGCAGGCAGGCAGGCAAGCAGGCAGGCATGAAGGCGAACTAGCAAACAAGACCGGGTTAACCGCTTGCCTTGCTATCATAACATACTAGTCGTAGCAGTTAAACCGTATACAGAGTATATACACACTAACACTTTTACATGCACACACAAACGAATACATGCAATAGATCTGTACTGTCGTTGATAACCGTTGGAAATCATATAATAAAAGGGAACCATCATCCAACCAAACATATAAACGAAACGGGAACGCTTTGACGACTAACACTGCGACAACGACAACAACAACAATTACCACAATAATACAAACGCAGCGACAATGGCAGTCATGATGGAGGTGCAGAGGCAACGGTAGACTAAGTCGTACAGGAGATGCGGCGCAAAAAATAATGAAAGAGAGCAAAACAAAAAAAAAAAAAGAAGCGATTACAACAAAAGTCTATGAAGCACTGCAGAACGTGCAAAGAAACTAAAACTAAAGGGCACAAACACTAATGGCGGCAGCGGCCGTCTCATTTGCTGGGACGAACGGTCTTCTCGAAAGTACGTTCTGCGCTTGATAATGATATTATTTGCTCGATGTTTGCGTTGCGGTGCTGTTACGTTTTGTCTTGTAATTGTGAATAGGTTGAAACAGACGCAGGGCCTACGATCCTACGACGGGGGGATGAACGCGTGTAAGAATTGCAATTACATTGCCTGGGCAAAGTTATACTCCAACAAAAAACAATAACAGCAATAGCAGCTGAAGCAACTTTGCCTGCAGTAAAAAGTGTGCTCTATCAAGGCATTAAATGTGTACGATGATAATGGTGATGATGATGATGATGATGATGGTAACGGCCGTTTGCAAACGTTGCTGCAAACGTTGCTGAATGAAACAATTCCGTCGCCGGTTGACATCGTCGTCGCTGCTGTTGCAGCGGCAATAGACACGACAAAACACATACCATCAGCCATACCATCGTCGTCGGCCGCCATCATAACGTCGTTCGTTGACTGTGCTAAGTTTGCTGACTGACTACAGTTGCCTATGGTTGTGTGCAGAGCGCGTAAGTGCGCTCGACTCATTCAAGTGTCCAACTTATGTCAGAGCGGCCGCATCATATATATCGCAACATTGCCTAGTCAAACGCGGACAGTTGCTAAAAAAGAAAAGCAAGGTTTTTGTGTGCAATTTACACACAAACACAACAAACATTTATATATACATATACATTTGTGTGAGTGTACGTTCATATATATTCATATATATATGTATATATATATATATATATAGTACGCCAGAAAAAGTCAACACATACATACGCATCTAAATAGTTAGACATTAGGCACCACAAATCAAACAAGTACAGAACAGACAATCGCTTTTTGGCTTTTGCATCAACTGGAAAGGCCAGAAGATTCCTAAAAGCTACGTTAGTTACAATAACAATCAAGAGCAATATGAAATATCAACGCGGCGGTATTAGTGAATCTTCGACAACTTCGGATAATACGTCCCAGTTTATTGAAATCGTGAAAAAACATCAACAGATCTATAATACACATCACCCCGATTATAAAAATGTTGAAGTAAAATTGAAGGTTTGGTCACAAATCGCAGCGGAAATAAATTTATCAGTTGGTACGTACAGAGAAACAAATCGCACATAATGCATACATACATTGCATTCATTTCCATACAAAATCATTTTTAATATGTGCATAAATTATTCTGCCCTGTGAGACGAGAGCGAGAGCGCGTGTAAATAAAATACACATTAAAAGTGTTTACAAAAAAAAGGCAAAAACTCATATAAAAGTTAACTTTGGTCCAAGCAAAACTATCCCACAAAATTATTGTTTACTAAACGAAAAGTAATCAAATTGTAAAAAACTTAACATACATCAGAAATTAAAAGTAATTTGGCCCAGCAATTTTTCATTAAAATGAACAATATACACCGATTTTGATACGTATATACAAATAATAAATAAAGAATTGCAGAGTTTAAATAGGGAGGGAGTAAGAGAGAGAAAGAGAGCAGCAAAAACGTGAGAGAAAGAAGAATGAGTAAAACGCAGAGTATTCCCAAAGCAGAGAAAATGAAAATATAACAACAAAGAACTAGATGTGTGTATGTGTGTGCACATGCTTAGATGTGCAGATAAACAAAAAGGAAAAAAAAGGGAAAATTATCGATTTCTTTCCAGCACGCAAATTAATCACATGAAATAAAAAATATATTAAAATTAACTTAGAAGAAGTATAATAATTTTGTTTTTTTGTTTTTTTTACTCACCTCTATTGTTGATTTGTTACACTCGTAAAAGAAGAAGAAGAAGGATATTAAAAAAAAGTGTAATGACTTGTAAACTTTCTTCACCTTTTTCTTGACAACGAATGTAGTGTTAATTCATAATTATCGTCCATATTGAAAGCAAATATTTTCCAGCTTGGCAAGAATCTTTTGCTTTTCCTAAATAGTGATAAGCAGAATTTTTCCTCTTTTTTTTTGGCTCAGAAGTCGTGACGTGATGAAAACGTATTAATACCCAATTCTTGGTTTCGTGTATGTCAATTATGCGTTTGTTTTGTTGGATTTGTAATTTTCTTATTTATGTGTTAAACGGAGTTTTTAAACTGCATTCCGCAATATAAACAGACAAGTGTTGAATTAACACTTAATTCAGACCGACCAAGAATGCCGTATATAAAATTCGAATATATATTATGACACTTTCAAGCAGTGTAAATCGGGTAAACAATTAATGCATTCACATCGCTCGATTATAGATATAATACAGTTTATTTCTTAAGTGTAGATCTGTTTGGAGGTTTTCTTTAGAATCTTTATAAAATAACTCATGAAATTTTTTTTAGTTTTGAAAAAATTGCTAAGCGGTGCTCTGTTATTATTTTGCGTTTATTTCAGGGGGACTGTGTGAATTGTTATTAGCTGAATTGATATTAACAAATTAGTCGATAAATGTGGTTAATCTATAAAAATTTGTTCTTTCAGATGCTTCGAAAAGAAAATGGAAAAATCTACGTGATAGCTACACAAAATACTTGCGATCTTTCCGTGTGGGTACAAAAACTTCAAAGAAATATCAATATTGGGCTCATGCCGATCATATGGAATTTTTGAAACCCTATCAAGGGCCAGGAAGGTGCGTAGATAACGAAAAGGAAAAAAAAAGAAAACAGATGTACATATTTTGCCTTCTTATATTTCAGAACCAACACCTTACCGCTCAAAGAAGATGAAGATAATGAATGTGATTTGGGATATCAGGTGTTGGCTAAAGCCTCGTCTAATAGTGGCGAGGATGATTTAAAGACTTCAATAACGCAAACTCAAACGGCTATTAATAATAGCAATAATAACAATAATGGGAGTGGAATCAGCGGTAATATTAGCGGTTTACCGTTAAATACCTCCCTGACGTGCATAAATCCCCAACTACCGACGGTTGTGAGTGGTAGTTCGGCGATAGGTTTAGTAAATGCCACTACGAATACCACCACGACCGCAGGAGGACTTGTTTTGCCGGTGCCATCCTTACCTACAGTACAATTACCGCCTTCTTTAATAGCTATGCCTGTCATCGGGCCTATTAATGGGAATACAAGTGTTACAAATGCTACCGCTGTCGCTTCTTCAGCAACAGGCTTACCCTCCTCATTAACGTCGCAAATTCAAGCTTCGCTGCCAGCTTTGAATACCAAAACTCCGATTACAATGCCATCAAGCAGTACCGCTAGCTCTGTAGGTTGCCTAATTATTGAACCCCAACTTTTTGCATCGACTGATAGTTTTAAAAAAGAGTTAACTAACAGCGCTACTTACATTTCAACTAATAATTTCAATCACTATAACAACATAAATAATCAAGTAAATCCCACCACCACCACCGCAACACGGTTTAATCCAGCCTTAATTACAAAAATACGGCGCGTACAGCCTTCGCCGCAGACCTCGGCCATTAATCTAAGTTTCTCCACATCTACAACAATAGCGAACGCCAACAATTCCACAAGTTCGATCAATTCAAGCAGTTACTACTCATCTCCTGCCACGGCAACCATAGCATCAGGGCCACCGGCAGCTAAAATACGTAAAACATTTGATCCTGACGTTACCGCTATATTGCAAGCAAACCGGGATCTCGATGCCAATACTTTATTCTTTCTCAGTTTGGCGAAACAAGTGCGAGCAATGCCAACAAAATTCCAATCTTTAGCCAAAATGCGTTGCATGCGCATTGTCAGCGATATTGAACTCGAACTTGATAACGTTACCAATGATACTAATTACAATGTTAATGGTAGCGGCGGAACCAATTCAAAATACTGTAATCTAGACTCCCCCACGGATGGCGCCAACCAGCACCAGCACATAAATGTTAATAACGGTAATGAACCTCAAACAGAACATTTCGTTTATGTTATGTCGCCATCAAGAGTAGAAGGTATGATCGATTTATCCTCCGATGAAGAGAATACTTTAAACGGTAATTGAGGAAAACAAAGGTTTCAAAAAGTAGTCATATTTTGTACGTAAGTTTTCACTTACGTAAAAAATATGTAAAGAAAATCAGTATTTTTCAAATATAAATAAAAAAAATAAAACGAAAGTCAGTTAAAAGAAAATAAACTTTATTACAAATTTTATGTTAATTGAAAGAAACATTTGGAAATGAAAAGCCACAAGGAATTATTAAAAAATTTAACCCTGCCTTGAATGAATTTCATTCAAATTACGTCCTGTGGCGAAAGCGTAATGATTTCAACTTTCACTTGTCTTTTTAATTCAGCTTTTATCCAAGGTCTCTTGTAAGCACCTTCAGTAGTAACAGTAACATCAGTTATGGATTTAACGTTGGATGCTTTGGCTCTATCTCTCTGAACTTTATGCAAGGTAGAATAACCCTCCTCCTCGAACAAACGTACCACTGCACTACCATTGGAACTCCTCTTCACGTCTTCAATCCAATTAACCTGATATTGGTTTTCAGCAACGCGAGCGACTGGTACTATCTTTCCGTATGGAGATTCCGCAAAGAGATTCGGTTTTACTTCACTGCTAAACTTTAACGAAAATTCGCCGATAGGAAATATAAATTTTAAAGCTTTTCATTCGATTTGATAATTGAAACTTGATTGCGCATTACACACATTCGTCAGCATTAAAATTTCATTTGAGAGTGCATATAAATTTCTCACATATGTGTTCAGTATGAAACAAACGTTTATTATGTGTAGTGCAATAATGCAACCATATATTCATAAATATTCACACGATTGTGGCATCCTCTGTACTAAAATGTGTTATTGTGACTTTCGGATTGTTGCAACTGCTCGCCTCAACGGCGTTAATAACACAAAATCCGATCCAAAAACCAAAAGTTTCACGCGTTTTAGTATTTTATTATTTTTATGAAAGAAATTCAAACTTTTAAGTTCTATAAGGACGATCTCGCTCATCTAATCTTTAACATATCAGAAATTGTTTACCACCTATTAGCAATTTGAAATGTCAATTCTGCTACGAAGGCATGAAAATGCGTCACAAATCGTCTGTTTTTAAAATATTAACCAAAACAGAGTTACCATTGTTTATAATATTCGCAGCCCGAAAGTGCGGTACAGTAACAAGCAAAATTTTAATTTCATTACTATAAATAAAATAAAGTCGAGCTAAAAATAAAAAAAAAACAGTAAGAACATCATAGCTGGGTAAGGCCGACTATTTTTTTCGTCCTGGTAATGGTACACCAAAAGTCCTTAAATGCGGTGGTATCCAAAATATAAACCTGCATAGTCCATATTCACTAACGTTGATTTCAATGTCAATTTACTGTTAAGAAGTACACTCTGAAATATTAAAAATTATATTTTTTTACTAAATAAAAATCCAGTTCTCCTAGGAACTGTTCTAAGAAAGTGGGTTCAAAGAATTGGCCCAGCCGAACCAAATATTTCGTACCAATTAAGAATGTTAAAATACTGTATCGAGAAATTTTACAAATTGCACTTTTTTCCGTGTACCAACTTTTGCAAAAACGGTGTTATATGGATACTGGTGCAAAAAGAGATCCAATCTAAACCATTTTCAAGAGCATTCGTTCTTGTGTCAAAACACGTCGGTGCCTCAAATTTTAAAGAGATTAAATAAGTTGAATATTTTTGAAGAGCAAAACTACATAAAAAGGATGAACAAATTGTTGTTTCTAAAAGAAAAATAGAATTATGAAACGAACGATGGAGGTTTATAGAAAGAAAGACAAATCAGAGAGTCGCTTGTGCGATTTGCATTTGCCTGCGTATCAGTCGAACTAACCAAAAAAAGAGCTGAAGTACTCGATTTTGTTCATAAAATTTTTTGATTAAATTTTTAAATGCTTCGTACATATATAATATTACATCACACTCTGCGATTTTAGAGGCGATTCTTTCCTTTGCCATAACGTGCTTCAATGCACTCCAATTAAAGTAAAGCAAGGATGCTTTTTTTTACATTTTAACCTCTCTAGTTTAAAAATTTTTGCTTAAACCACTGTTTCACTTTTGTACCTGATATAGATTTTAGATAGCGATACTTAGTGGCGACGCGGTCAATAAAAACCTTTTTTAGAATCTACAATTTCAAATTTTTTCTTAGTACACTTTTCCGTATCAAAATTTTCAACCTGGTAATGCCATTTTTCTATTTTTTGTACTTTTGAATCTTTTAATAATAAAACAAGCTCAAAAGCAATTGACGGACTAAATAAAGAGAGTAAACTATGTAAATTTGCTTGTTTTAGCCACACACAAAGGCACAAAAGGCACAAAATTTATGTACATTAAAAAACGGGGAAACCCACAATAATGGATATACACCGAAACAAAAGAAATATAATTACATCAACTTGTGATCTCATAAAATTAATATTTAAAGCACATTAATAAGCTTTTCAAGTACTTACGTGTTAACTCAAATTTAAAGGTGGCTTATTAAACGATAAGCAAAATTTTGCAAAGTGTTTTCTTTGTAATCTGATGTAACACGAAAAATGATACTTATCCACTCACAAACAATGCAAAACTGATCAAATGTTAAAATCGTAAAAAAAGAGCTTAGCTTTGCTTTCTTGCTTCACCTTTCGTCGTAGACTTACCATATGCTTACAAATGATTGAAACAAAAACAACAAAAATATCATCTTATTTTTCTGCGAGTTGGCAAATCAACAACAGGTGTTTGAATGTTTTCGTTTGAAAAGTGTTCGAAGTTAATTGAATTATTTAGTTTAGTAGTAAAAACGAAAAAAGTAAATGAAAGAATTCTTTTACAAAAATGCGTAAAAGAAAGTTGAAAAGTAATAATTTAAAAAAATATGAAGTAAAAGTGAAAATCATGGAATAATATAAAATTTAGTTGAAAAGGATCACCTTCTCGCATAACCACTCCACTTATATAAACTATCTCTAACCTGAACGTACAAAATCAAAACAAAAACAAAAGTTTTTCATTTTTGAAGATAAAAAAATGTAAAGAATTTTAGCAGTTTTTTTTTAATTTCTTTTGAAATTACACTTCAAAAGAAGACTTGCCCGCGGATATTTTCTCCTTTGCTTTGTTTCTTATTGCAATGTAGCAATCAGCTGATTTATAGTGCACATTTATCGATAACCAGTTATCGTCAATATTATTATCCTTTAGAACACAAGTACTTGTATAGCAATTGTTTTGAAAAGAATTAAAAAGATATACATATAAAAGAAACAACAAATATTTTCATTGTGTGCAAACAATTTTTAACAGAAATGAGTGAATCTTGCTATTCATCTTGGCTTCTGGAAAAAAGGACCTCACCAGAAGTCTTCCGACTACGCTTAGGTGTTAATAAGATCGGTCGACACTCATCATGTCACGTGCGATTAACTGAACCGACACAAGTATCCCGGTATCATGCTGCTATTTTTGTCTCTCATGATGACAAAAATGTGAAAGTAGTAGATTTGGTAAGGATTTGGATGATTTGGTGGCAAATTAAAAACAGAATCGATATAACAGCTTTTTTAAAATTGTAAGTTAGCTGGAAAATCCAAAAAGTTCTTAAAAATATCAAATTGTAAAGTAAATATATTTCCTCAGAAAATGTAGATATTTTTGAAGATGAAGTCTATTAGAACAGTGACTACCACATTTTATATGTTTTGGTTTAAGAAGTTTATAACACTTTAAAAATATCCTTGTATAAACAGAGATTGTTTTTTTCCAGAAGTCGGTTAATGGTATTTATGTTAATGATGACTTCCATACCGATTGCGGTGTTGATCTGCAGGTGAATGATGTAATTGGCATTGGAGTTTCGGAAAAAGAGCCTTCTGCAGAAGTTGAGTACTCCAAATTACCCATCTTCAAATTGATTTACAAACCCATACGAACTGTGAGTGAAGGCATGGATTCCTTGCCTACAAATAAACTGACTGATTCTAAGAATAATGATGAACAGCCCAGCTGTAGCGTTGCGGTCAAAAAAGAGCAACAACGACAGCATGTAAAGGAGGGAAAGGGTGAAAATATCGTAGATGCAGCGGATGAAGTCGTAATTATTTCAAGTGATGAAGAAGACGGCGAAATAAAAGCAACGATGAATACAAAAGGTGATCATAAAGAAGCAAGCAATCAAAATAATGTTGCTTTAATTCATTTGCCGCTCGAATCGGCATTAAAAAGAGAGTACGTGGAGTCGATTTCTAATGAGTTAGAATCCATTTTTGGAAATATTGCTGGTGATGATGAAATTCAAAATCAATTAAAAGAAATAAATCCATTGATATACAATGGCGTCGTGGGGCGGCCATTATTAATGCCTACCAACTGCGATAAGGTTTTGGTAGATGGACAAATAATTGATTTACGCAACGAAGACAAGAATGATGATATTGAAAAGGATGTACCGCTTCAAATAGTAGAATTGGGAAGACTTCTACCTAATGAAGATTATATGAAATTGAAAAAAATACCTAACAGTCCAAATATATTTGAAAGTTCCAAAGAAGAAGAATCTATGGAGACGACAAATGAAATAATTCAAAACTGTGACAAGTTGGACGAAAATGTTCGCAATCCAAGTCTACCTGATGACGAAGCTTTGAAAGATTATATAGTTAATGATAATAAGGACGATGATGAAGAATTCATGTTTTCTCAAACAGTGATAAATGGTATGAAAGCTGATCTTGATGATAACGATGACTTCCAGGATCACGATGAGGAACAGGATCCACCAGCAAGGGATAATTTGGTAAGAGTTAAGCAAGAGCCGGGCATTCAAGTTGACAATAGTTCAGCTATTTTGGCTAAACCGGCTAACTATGTAGATCCTAATATATGCTGGGATATTAGTGACGACGAAGAAAATGACGATGAAAATTTGCGAATGTGGTCGAAACGTCTTCTTTCACAAAGTTTCTCTCAAGTGTTTGAATTAAGTGAAAAATTATCAGATGAACAAGTAGATACAGATCGAGAAGAGAACCAATTCAGAATAAATATCGAGCATGAACATGATGATATCTTTAATCAAAGTGATATAGACGAGGAAAAACTGAAAGAAGAAATGTTTTTCGCTATCGATAAAACATTGAAAGGATCTGGCATTAAAACAACTACAGATAATCAAACCAGGTCAAGGGAAGAAAATATGAATAGAATGAACAAAGTCAGAGCAAATGAAGAGAAAGACTTACTGGATTCACCCGTTATAGGAAGAGCTAATTCGAAAACTAGGAGGCTTGCAATATTATCGTCAGAAGATGAATGTGAAGAAAAATTAAAAGGAGATGCGCCAGGAAAAACAACTAATAAAAAGGCACAATTAAGCGGTCGAAAACAGATACCACCAGTTATAGAAGCTCCTAGATTACCCAAGCACAGAAACAAACTACGTGGCGTTTCAGCGGCACCATCTTCCAAAAACTCTACAAAAAAACCAAAAAGTAATTATTTAGAGGTGGGAAAAACGATGTGTAATGAAAAACCAAAGGTAGACTTAAGCCGGAACCACCTCCAAATGTGGGAACACGTCAAGGGCAGAGAAAAATGTGATGCCAAACAATTGAAAGAATATCGCAAAGAACGTCTTAAGCAGTTGGCTGAGAAGCAAAAAAATCACTGTAAAGAGAATTTAAAACGAAAGCATTCTCAGGATAATAATAATGAAGCAACGGCAGGCAAAAAAGTTAAAGTAAAATTGACTAAAGTTAATCGGGGAGCTTTTCTAGCTCAAGAAGATACTAAATCAAAAATTACCAAAGAAGAAATTCAAAAAAAGTGCCATAACAGCAAACCACCCACGAAGTCAGGTGCAAAGCACAATCTAGAACGTCGTAGAAGTTTAAATTTTGAGACTTTTTCTCAACAAATTTCCAAACCAGATGAGTTTCTCAATAAAGAAAGAAAGAAAAAGGAGGGGAACAAAAATCATGGAAAAAAAGAAAAACCAACATCAACACCTGCGAGACGACATTCATTAAATGAACAGATAGAAAAAAGAAAAAATAGCAAGACCGTTCCTGCTTGTAAAGAGACTTTGGCTGCTCGTGCTTTACGCACTACCAATAAAGTTACGTTTGCTTCAATGGAGAGAGACTTAATTAAGTCCATGGAAAGTACCCGCAAACTTGCGATGGCGAACAAGCAAATTTTAAAAACAGCACCCACTGCTTCTACTGCTGTTGTTACTTCAAGTACACCTTTCCTGGACGCTTTCAAAGAGGCAACAATTCAAAACGCAGCTTCAACTGACATTGCCAAAAAAGACAAACCAAAAAAAAAAGTGCGCTTCAATGATGTACCTATTTACCATTACATTGAACCTACAGCGGGCGCCATTCGCAAGGTTGTTGATAAAGATTTCTTGCCACGGACTACCCATAGAGACCGATTTGAAATGTTAAGTTCACAATTTCGTATAATCGACCATACTGATAAAATTATTACCGACATTCTAACCTGGAGCAATGATTGGCTGATCAAAAGAAGTGCTGCCGCCGCGGCTCAGATAGTAAGCCCAATGCCAAGACAGTTCAGTACATTTGATCATTATAAAAGGTTGTGTTTGCGCCTAGAGCATTTATTTCATCAACTAATAATTATAAACACTTTGCAGAACTTTACTCTCGTTGATGCAATTGGAGTTTATGAGCAAATTGCAGCGTGAATACGAGCATACAGCTGGCGCTAAGCAATTTCGTGTGAAGTTAGAAAGCGTTACCCCAACGGACAACGGACTCTTAATGCTTGCAACAACATGTAAGCGTCTTAAAAATTTTATCTAAACGTATGAATTTCGCTCTTGAATCTCTATTTCATTACTATGTTGCTTTACTTGCCTATGCATTATCTTAAAGCAGATATTATTCATTTTAGTATTAGATATATTACCACTGAATGTGTTTTAATAACCGACATTTTAGAAAGTCCTAATTGACGCTAAAAGTGAAAGTATTAAAATTATTTATTCTTCTTATACCGCACACTTATGGAATATCGAGTTTCTGCGATAACACCGTAGGGACCTAAAATACTACTACATACCTACCTCCTTTACTATATTGATTAATTCAGAATCGTGTTCTGAATCGATCTAAGTTAGCCGGCCCTCTCTGTCCGTCTGATGTCTGTCCAGGTGGCTTGTGTTTAACTTACAAGTCACAATTTTTGAGATATTGGTACACTGAACATGCCTTTGTCCAAGGACGAACCCTGCTGAAAATACCTCGGCCTATGTACCAGGACCGTGAACTGCAGAGATTTCACTGATGAACCCTTCATTAAGAGGCAAAGATGTACCAGTAGTCAGAACAGAACTGAATAGATTTCAAAACCATACATGTTATATGGATCTTTGTATTTGAATAACATCAGCACTGATTTGCTATTAGAGAATGTAACGAATTGTTTTCATGTTATTGGATTTAGCAAAAAACTCAGCCTATCTGACAAGACGGTGCTCAATAAAAAAGATAGGTCTTCCAACACTTTGAATTTACTTAAGAGTATCTCTGAATAGCTGACTATCGAAAAGCTGGATGTCCCAGAATTTACCGAACCGTCGGTGCCATACATTCGGAAATCGTTTTCTGGGTAAAAGCTAAACTTTTGCAAATATACAGCTCGAATATATGAGAGAGGCGAATTGCTTTTAGAGTTAGCTGCAGACTTGGGGATATTCAGATCGATTTTGCATTTGGAATGCGTCAAATTTCCAAAGGTAATGGCTTTCACTTTCTTGAAAATGTGATAAAATTTCTTGTAGCAGCTTGCGTAACTGTCAGAGACTTCATTACATTTGGCGAGCACCGTTCTGAAGAAAGAAGGTTTAAAGATTTTTACTTTTAAAAGTTGCTTTGCAGTTAGCAGATAGGCCTTCTTTGAAACTGGTAGTCCACTCGAAATGAATCTTAGAATGAGTATAGCCGTCGAGAGAGAGAGAGACTAGTACAATGTCTTAGAAGTGAGTGATGAAAAGTTTGTAGTTTTTTGATTATGTAATCCGGAAAGTTACATGAAATCGAATATGTATATTCTATGCGGGTTATTCTAGCGGGTTATAGTTTACGACTTCCAAATCAGACACATTCTTGTCAGATTAAAAAATCTCTCAAATGACGGCAAAGTCAACACTTTTAGAGTTAAGAGGAAAGTACAGAGTGAGCAATCATGCTGGGGATTTATCACATTTAACACAGCAGGTTGCTTTGTTCTTACAGAATTTGGCGATGTGACCAAGTCTGCCACTGGGACTGCAAAAGTTGAATTTACCGCTTCTGCGGATTTCTTTTCCCTTAAAGCTAATTTTAACATTGTTGGTGAAATACCTGGGGATATATGCCTTTGCGCTTTTCGATGAGCAGTCACCATTCTTTAAAAAATTTCTCGGCATTTTGAGCGTTGTCAAAAAGAAGATTAGCCTTGCCATTATTAATTGTCCTGAGAAGAAATGGTGAGAGTTAAGACGAACTCGTTTCCCATGATCGGTTTTATTTCCTTCAATGAACACGTAAATATCACCTAAAACGTCACTGTCACCAAAGTTTAGTTGCTCAAAAGAAACGCTTCAATTGTTCGAAGCCAGATTACTGTCAACATAACTGACGAAGATTTCTCATAATTACTGACTTTCATTTAGGAAGAGTTTTTTTCTAAGCCTCTGCAAATTTTTTAAAATCGTCTGTTTTTAGAATCGTATCTAATTCCTCAGCTGTTCAGGGGGCGGGCAACTTTTGGTTTTCGTGGTAGCTTAAACACTAGAAAACACATAACCGATTTTTAAGAACTAGCAGGGAAGGACAACGTTAAAAGGATTCGATGAAACTGAAAAAAACGGACAAAGGTTTTGAGAGTTCAGAAGATCGGGAAGATGCACTCTTCAACCGCCACTTAAGTGTCCAAGGTAACGAAAACACTCAAAGTAGATTATGCAGGGATAAGATTGGAAGCAGCAGTTAGCGCTTGTTTATAAAAAGGTTAAGGAGCGAGAATTTTTTTTTTTTACAAAAATCTTAAAGCTCAAGCAGAGTTGGCTATGGTTTTCTGTGTAATAATGGTTTTCTAATGGGTCTCGCACGGATGTCGTGTATACTGATTTTCGTAAAGCGTTTAACTTGGCTTTAACTTAGTTAACCATTGATCTTCAAACTCCATGCCTCTGACACGAAATAGGTAAGCTCTTATCTGGATAACGGATTATTTAGCGCTCTGTTCAACTTCATCACCTCGAGTGAATTTCCTGCTACGTCTGAGGTGTAGGGCATCTAATTGGCTATAGCATTCTTACTTGTTTTTCGAATGAATTGTATTAAGAGCAAATGTCTGCAGTTGCATCTCGTGAAACACATGTTAGTTACAAATACATTTTATAATAATAATATCGGTAGATGAAAAATGCCTGCAGAATGAAACCAAACTACTTCATGGTTTTGGTAGAGGGTGGCAATAAAATGTGATTAAAATTATATTCGTTACAATTACAGATACGTATCAACACTCCTATGAAGCAGCTTACTCCCGTTACGATGTTGTTATATTGGACATTCCAGAATTACAGAAGGAAACATTTGCTTACGTCTCAAGAAACCATAAAAGAGGCGGTAAGTATTAGGAGTGGCCTAGCAATTAGGATCAATATTATGAAGTAAGTTCTAATTATTTTCACAGGCAATGTTAGTACAATAATATTCGAGATTATACCTGTTAAAATGCTTCCATGGAAATTGTCAAACGATACCAAAGAATTGATTGTACGACCCGTGATTGATAATGTACGCGTCGAATTCGGGTCATTTAACGCTGTGTATCAGCTGGAGAGTACGCCTCTATTCAGAAAGGTTTTATATCCTTTAGAATTACTGAACGGTAAATTACCTCCTAAAAGGAATATTGTTTATAAAGCTTGCGATCGTTTTTTAAATGAAAGGCAAAAGCAAGTACTGCTAAGTACTTATACACGTATTATCGATGAAACGACACCCAACATAACGTTGATTCAAGGGCCACCAGGCACTGGTAAATCGCAAGTAATTGCCAATTTAGCTTTGCAGACATTATATGGCGAAGAGGTTCGTTACTTAGATAGGAAAATTTTAATATGTGCTCAAAGCAATGCAGCGGTAGATGTGATTGCCGGTAAATTGTACGAAATTAGCTTAAGGATGCGTGTAGAAACTCGTTTTCGTCTAATACGTTTCGGCAATTCGGATAAGATAAGTCCATATGTTCAGCCAGCAGTTTTGAAAAACGTGGTGATACGCGATCAGATGAAAAAGTTATCGAAATGGAAATGCAATGGGACCAATGGAGAAGATTTGCAAAAACAAGTTTTCCAACTTGAAGCGGAAATTGCCAATGCTCGTATTAGCACAATCTCTGGCACCGTTGAAGAGGACAAATTGAAAGAAAAAATACGCCAACTCGAACTAGCGAAAAGCATCATGAAAGGTTCAATGCGCCCCGACGATGAACAAAGGATGTTTTCATGGTATTTAAGTAATGCGCACATTGTATGTGCCACTTTATCAAGTTGTGTTCGATTAACAAAGTAAGTTTTTAACTAAAAGCATTTTTTGTTCTTGTTGTTTTCTTAGATAAAGAAATTTTATTAATTCTAGTTACGTAAACTTCTTCGATGTTTGCATAATTGATGAAGCAACCCAATGTATAGAACCTTGGACTTTAGTACCGTTGAGGTTTTTAATCACTTCTCTGGTATTAGTAGGTGACACGCAACAATTGCCGGCCACGGTATTATCGCAGGTAACTTGTAACTTTGTCGGTTTCCATATGTAATAACTCTGTATGAAGATGAAAACTCTTTATTTAGAAAGCAGATGACCTCGGTTTAAGTACGTCAATGTTTACACGTATTCAGAATTGCTTGGACAATGCAATAAATAGTACCAATCTCATAAATTATAATTACATCGTTAGCGGTTTAAATGTGCAATATCGCATGCATCCGGAAATATGCAAATGGCCGAATTTATACTTCTATAAAAACAATTTAATTGACGGTGCAAATACTCGTAAACTGCAGACGCCAATAAAGTCATTTGTTATGTTAAGTTTGGATTATACACAAAACGATCATGGCGGCGACGGTAAAATCTCTAATAGCATGGAAGCCGAATTCGTAGCGAAGTTATTAAAAGCTTTAGATGATTACATACCAAATAAATCGAATAGTTACGGTGTAATTACTCCGTACGCTCAACATCGTCAAACATTAAATACAGCCATAAAGTAAGAATATAATGTTATTACTTTCTCATACAGCCCTCACCAGATATGCATATAAACATAATTTTTCAAATCATTCTGCCAGCCTTTCAATTGTTGAACTTCTAAAGACCCTAAAAACTAGCACAGAGGGATTTCATATATATTCTTAATATAACTCCACATCCACTTCGAAAATGTGTGCGATTCGCCCCTTAAATATTTTAATATCAATCAATTTTTCCATCAATAAATTAAGGTGGATAGCAGATGTCTATTCAAAAATGTGCCTTTCCAAGATTAGGATTCAGAAAGAGTCGCAGCACTATGTGACGTCAACACGAACTGATTTGATTCTATGGCATATATCCTACAGATCAGCTTCGTAAATTTGGCAGTTTCAGGGGGATTCCGGATTGAAGGCGTCGATCACGTCGAAATGCAAAGTTCCTCAATGTCCCTCCCCACTTGTTGTACAAGGGCACATCCGCGTGTACACTAAACCCATAAGTATTTGGGATAGAGCCATCTTTTAGCATATCGAAAGATTTCCGAATCGATTTAAGTTTGTCTGTCCATCTGATGTCTGTCTTTGTATTATTGTATTCAACTTGGTCGCAACTTTTGCGATATTTGGATAAGGCTTGATATACCGAAATATAATGTTTTTACTTTTTTAAATTTTGGTAATATTTTTATACCATAGATCCATGGGCCTTAGCAACATCATGGTGAACACAATCGATTCATATCAGGGTCTTGAAAAGGATGTCATCATAATTTCAAATGCTCGTACAAGTGGTATTGGCTTTCTCGCTAGCCCTCAAAGGCTGAACGTAGCCATAACTAGACCGAAAAAGTGTTTAATATTATGCGGAAATTTTAAAAATTTGGAGGTAATTATTTGAATCGTTTTTTAGGGCATCGCTTTAAGAAAAACCACGTTTTTATTTTTAGACCGTACCTGCTTGGCGTTCATTGCTAGACAGTGCTCGTGAACGTAAATTGTTCTATGAAATAAGCCCCGATTGTATCTATGATATACAGGCTAATGTCATTGAAAAAATTAAACTGAAGAAGCCTTTACAAGAAACTAATAGCAATTGACAACATTGTTGAACATATTTTTGCAGTATTTAGTTAAAAACGAATTCCAAAGTTTATATATTTTTAGAAAATTTAAATAATTTTATGTATTACTACATACAAACGCTTCATATTATGAAAGATACAGGATAAATTGCATTTTATTATGTATATAATAACGCTTTGCGTTTTCGGATGACAATAGCAATCTAAAATTTTTTAGATATTAGGGTTTGATTATTCCAATATATTCGCAAATTTCAATATCTTCCAATGATACTCACTATTAAAGTGTATCGTAAACATTATCATAACGATGAAAAATCTGTTAACAGTTTTCGTTTTCAATACTTATGTTCGATTTTTTTCAACTTTGCAAAGAATATTTGATAGACGCAGATGTACTTTGTGGAATTAATTTTCCGTTTCATTTCACTTTGACACAACTAACGGGGATTAGTTTTCGGTTTGGTACAACTTAATGGAATTATTTTCCACTTTATGCTCGTGTTCGGTTTTTGTAATACGTGTTTTTTTGTTTTTTTTAATATGCGCAGCGTTTAATCAGTTCAAGGCATTCGGCATAGGATCTACATTAGTTTCCTTTAACAATATTATTAGTTTACCGACTATTCAACTTATCTTAGCGTAGCGGAAATGAGTATTTTGTTGCATATCGTTTTTCAAATCGATCGCTTTCGAATAAAATTTAGCTCACGAGTGGCTGATACCTGATTTATTTTGTACTTACGTTCTTATAATGTTAAGCTTTTACGATTGAGCTCCCATTGTACATATTTCTTCTTTTGCAAACATTTTATGTCAAATGGAAAATAAATCAACAAATACATTTGAAAATTATTTCATTGGCTAAGGCTTTTTTGCTGATTTTTTACATTCATATTTTTATGTAAATAATACTTTTAAAAGACGGCTGTATGCATTGGTCGGATTGGGCCAGATTCAGGAGATCCATTTTTTTTTCTCTTTTTTTTTTGTGACAGTGTCTCCTATTCGTGTAATGGGGGGAACGGTCAGAAAAAAGGGATGAAATAGAAGGACGTAGTTAGAAGCCGCAGTCTAGTAGGGGCTCAATCGGCAACTTTTAAGACTCTGTCGACTGAGCCGTAATTATAGCTACGACCAAAGGAAACTCTACCGCTTTTCAGATGTCAAGCCGCGAACACGTACCCAAGATGCTGACGTTAATCAAAAAACTGTTTCAAGCCCATCCGTCACCTGGAAGTTTTGGTTCCTTCGTCAGCAAGGCTTGTAAAAATCTTGTAAAAATTTTTGCAAAAGTGAGATTGCACCATGTTGAAAACGGCTACGGATTTAAAATTTAGTCTGAAGGCGGATACATAAGTTACGATTCTCCATCTTTTCATGGCAGTTAGAGAAGACGTAAATTCGGAACATATCCAAAAGAAATCCCCGTAACACAATTGTCGATTTTTATTTCAGAAACTTGGATAACACGTGGGTTAAGAAATGTAGTCACTTGAGTAGCATCGTTGATCGTTGACACCAAATCTCTATATCACACACAATAAAATTACAATATTAAAAAATTGTTGTTAGAGTTCTCTTAAGAATTTATTTCGTGTTTACACATATTAATTTATTCAATATATTTTAAACGTCCGCAACAACTAATGTCTTTTCTTTTTCTCTCAATAACAAACTGAATTGCGTAAGAAATGCATTATCGTCTTTACGTAAGGCATGTCTTTACTCTATGCATAATTCGGGGAACCCCATTCGTATACGCATATAATCGAATCTAACTGGATTGTAAAAAGCATAACGCGACGTTACAATGCATATCTGTGAAGAGTGATAGTGAAAAAATTCATAGAAATATCAAAAAAAAAAAAAAAGAAAAATCCATAAAAAAATCATAGAAAGAGAAAATCACAGTTCGTGTAAAAAGATATATTTTTTTTTCATTTCAGCTTGTGTTTAATCATATTTCGTGTAAAAAATTCATTGAAAAAGAGAGTTAGATGGACTTTTTATGCTTTTATGACAACTCTGTCTCGCAGTATAGTCGTCTATATTTTATTTCGGCAATTAATATTTTAATTTTTTGTTGAATTTCGTGGCTATTCTGCCTTATAGTGTGTGAATTTATAATATACTTTGAGAAGAAAGTGAGTGAATTCAAAGTAAAAGAAATATTTTTCCTTTACGCTTTGGTTCATTTGATTTTTGCAAACAAAAATTTTGAGCTCTGATATAAATCTCTCTTTTTTTTTTGTTTTCTCTCTTTTTCTCTGTTATTTTTTCGCTGTTTGTAGTTTGTGTTGCTATTGATCTCTCGTTACAGTGTCAACGTAACAGGGAAGTTTTGCACAAATTGGTTGATAAATTTTTATATTCAGGATTTTTTTAGTGATTTGTGTGTCTGTTCTTCATAATCCACAACTGTCTTTTTGACTGGACATGGAGTGTTTACATACACCTTCTCCACACCCGGATTCTGATAGATTCGTTTCTTGTTGGCTCTGCGAGCGCTTTGGTCATGCAAAGTGTGCCGGTATTCTCGGCCGTGCTGCTGACGCAGTCGCTGACCCGTCTAAAGGCTTAAGATGGTCATGTCCTGACTGTAGGCGGCGGGACATTGATTTTTATAAACTTTTCACGGAGACCCGTTGTGGTTTCTCGGCATTGAGTAGAAATCTCGGCTCCTTGTGGGAAAAGTTTGAGCTCATTAAGTCTAGGTTTGATGAGTGTCGTTTTATTGGATACTCATCTTCTACTCTTAGCGTAGCGTGTGGAACGTCACCTCTGGCTTTCTCCAAATCTGATTCGTTGGTACAAGTTACCGCTCCCTCTAACTCTAAAATGAACAGTAATGTTTCCGATATTGCTGAGTCGGTTGGTGGCAAAACAGTTACAAACAAGCCGGCAAGTCCTTCTGTTTTAAGCTACGCTGAAGTGGCAAGGGTATCTCCGCCCAGAGCCGCCACTCACTCTAATCAAGCGCCATCGCCTAAAAGTAATGAAGAGAAAAATAAATCATCCTCTCCTCCTGGCTGTTCGCGTGTGAATGCTGGTCACCAGACTGGGCAAGTCTCACAAGCTGCCGGTGCAAGGGCGATAACCCCATCTATATTCTCCCCAACTCGAAACTCTCCTACCGTGAACCCCACTCCTGTTCCAGATAATGACATTTGCTTGACGGCAGTTCCTCCCAGAAAAGCATTATTTGTGTCAAGACTGGCACCTGAAACATCGGTGGATAACATAAAAAGTTATCTGGCGACGAAAGTCCCATCAGTCAACTTAAAGCGTGTTAGCATCTTCAAAATGGCTCCTTCTCAAGCTAGGGCAATCTCCTCTTTTAAAATATTAGTTCCGACTGAAAACAGTGATATGTTGTTAAACAAATCACTTGTCTTGTCGCCTTCAAAAAACTAATTGTTTCTTCAGGCCCACTATCTCTCATTTATCAAAATGTTAGGGGCCTAAATTCGAAAATTCATTCAACTTTTCTAAATTCAGTGAGCACGGAATGTTTCTGTTTGGCCTTTACTGAAACTTGGCTAAAACCCGATCTTCATTCGTCGGAACTTTTTCATAATTCTTTCCAAGTATTTAGAAATGATCGAGGGAATCGCATTGGTGGTGGTGTATTAATTGCCATATCTGCGTCAGTCCCGTCCAATTTAATTGAATTTCCCACTTCTCCTGACGTTGAATTTATCGCTATTCGTGCGAATATGCCTGATAAACATCTATTTATAACTGCTCCTATATTCCCCCAAATTCTGATATCTCCATTTACAAGAAACACGCTGCCCTCATTTGTGAAGTGGCCAAGCGGTCTAGACCCACCGATTTGGTTGTTGCATTGGGTGACTTCAATTTGCCTCAAGTCACTTGGTGTAACACTGATAATTCTGGCTGTTTGGTTACTATTTCAACGTCTGATAGGGCTGTTGTGTTCTTTAGTGAATTGTTTGATCATAATTTGGGTCAATATAATCGTACCCCTAATTGTAATGGTAGACTGCTTGATCTCTGCTTTGCCAATTTTCCCGAGCTTTACGTAAATCGTTGTCCACCTTTTAGTTTACCTGAGGATCCTTATCATCCATCAATATGCATTTCCTTTCATCGTATGAATGATGGTTTGTTGAAATGCCTTAATGTGCCAAATCAAACTTTTTAAAATAATTATTATGATTTTCATAAAATCAATATTGTATTACTAAAACATCGTCTTTCACATTTGACGCTTGATTTCTCAACCGGTAGTATTGAAAGCTTATTGTCATCGTTCTACAACACATTAAATCTAGCTATTGCTGCATCTGTTCCGATCAAGCATTGTCGATCTCGAAGCAGGTGTCCCCCGTGGTTTAATAAGACAATTAAATATCACAAGAATAGAAAAAACTCGCTATTCAAAAAATATTCGAAAAGTGGCCCGGCGCTCGACTATGTCGCTTACTCGGTGGCGAGGCATAGATTTAACTCCCTCAACCATCATTATTACTGCAGATACCTTCAGTTCATTAAATCCTCTCTGTTTGCTAATCCTAAATTCTTCTTTAAATTTGTTAACTCTAAAAGAAAAATTTCCACATATCCCTCTCATGTTTCTTTTAATGGCTCCGATTCCTCGGATGATTTTGAAATCTCAAATCTATTTGCTGAGTATTTCCGACGTAACTTTTCGATTGCTAATTTCGATTTATCAGCAAACTACCGATATCCTATAACTAACTCGGTTTCAATACCTAACTTGGTTATTTCGGAAGATGACGTTTTTAAAGGGTTGAGTTCTCTAAAATACAGTTGTTCGCCTGGACCTGATGGAATTCCATCATGTGTACTTAAATCTTGCGCTGTCGAGTTATGTGGTGTGATCTCAAAGATTTTTAACATGTCCTTGTATTTAGGTGTTTTCCCTTCATGTTGGAAGAGTTGTTTCCTTATTCCTATCCACAAGAGTGGAAGTAGACAATTTGTTGAGAACTACAGAGGCATAGCCAAGTTGAGTGTCTTGCCCAAGTTGTTCGAGCGTATTGTGACTCAGCATTTGGCCTTTGCCATTAATTCGTATATTTCTCCGCACCAGCACGGCTTTGGGAAAGGGTGATCTACAGTCACCAACTTGTTAGAGTTTACCTGTCATGTTTTCAAGGCTTTTTCTAGTGGCTCTCGCACAGATGTTATTTACACTGATTTAAGCAAAGCATTTGATATGGTTAACCATAGACTACTTATCTTTAAACTCCAAGCCTCTGGTTTCCCACCCTAGTTAGTGAAATGGATAAGCTCTTATCTGCACAATAGATCCTTCAGGGTTTTGTTTAACTTCATCACCTCGGATGAATTCCCCGTTACGTCTGGCGTACCTCAAGGAACTCACTTAGGTCCCATTTTATTTAGTTTATACATTAACGATCTCCCATCGGTGGTTAATTCCAGCCAGATCTTAATGTATGCTGATGATGTGAAACTGTTTTCTTCCTTCTCTGTTGAATCGCAATCACATCAGCTTCAAGGTGATTTAGATAATTTTGTTGCATGGTGCTCTTTGAATCTCCTGCAACTAAATCTGAGTAAATGTAAGAAGCTTTCATTCTCAAGAAGAAAGTCATTCATTATTCAGTATTTCATAGATTCGCATAAGTTGGAGGACGTCGATTCGATCAGAGATTTAGGCGTTCTATTTGACCATAGGTTACGTTTTAACTTACATATTGAGCTCTCGATTAGCAAAGCTAGGTCCGCACTTGGTTTTATAAAAAGGTGGTCCAAAGAGCTTGATGATCCCTACATTACGAAAAGGCTGTACATACGTTTGTTTAGACCCATACTCGAGTATGC